CGGAGCATCACACTCCGGCAGCCGTCCACCAAGCCCCCTCACGACGCCAACGGGCCGGAAGGGGAGGGGGTAGAATTTGTTAAGTTTTCCATAGTATCTTTTCTTTATCAACTGTTTCAATGTCCCCATTCTCTTCTGGAATGAACTGCATTGCACATTTCATTTTCAACAGGACATGATCATTCTTTCCTAAGGAACAAATGTACTGTTTGGTATTTGGCGACTTCAACATGAATGTAATAGACTGGGAGGCCTACAAAGCAAGAATAGAGGACATTTGGACAGGCAGAGTTTTAAACCTCATCTTGGAGACACTCGTGTATCATCACATTAAGCATGCCACAAGAATGAGGCAACAGGATGTTCCATCAATGCTAGATTTAATATTCACCAAAGAAAAAAAAAAAAAAATTATATTATACAGTGGAACCTCTATTAACGAGTTTAATCCGTTCTGGCACCGAGCTCGTTACCTGGAAAACTCGTCTTTGGAAACAAATTTCCCCATTTAAAATAAAGGAAATAAATTTAATCCGTTCCACTCCCAAAAACATCCATACTTGTATGACTTTTTTTATGTAAATATAATACTGCACATGTAAATATAAATGTTTTGTTGTAGTGTTTTAATATTTACTTTACCTTATGAAGAGTAGTTGCTGGCTTGAGGGAGACGATGGAGAGGTGGGAAGGAGGAGAGGGGTTATGGTGTGGAAGGAGAATCCACCTCTGAGTCATGCGGACTCTCTCTTCTTGGGAATTTCACCCAAATTTCATTTCAAATGTCACACAAGGATGCGTTAAACCAGCACCAAATAAAAAACTACGTTGATTACACTCGTTGTCAACAATATAATAGTCTTCCCACGAAGATACAATACAATGCCGTTTTCTCAAATAGGCAGTGGTTATTAAAGAAAACGGAAATTTCATGGCAAACATGTATACAATCCCCAAGTCGATCGGATAAGAATTGGATTTTATAGAAATATTTGCTCAAATGACGCTTGAGCGCGGTGTTTGGGTGCATTCAATAGAAAAAAAGTGTGTTACGTTCAAGCGACATATACCTGCGAAAGTGATAACACTTTCATAAAGTGTTATCACAAAGTGATAAATTAATTAAACATTTTCACACACCGGGTTGTCACTGCTTTATCAGGGCAGCTTTTCCAAGAATGCGTTCACCTTTTCAAACATTCCAAACACTTCCCTGATCTCAGTGGAAGAGGCAGCATCCTCCCTTACCTCCTCATTCCCTTACTAATGGTGTAAATTGTTGATGAGGACCTGCCATACTTCCTTGTGAGATCAATCACACAGACACCACACTCATGCTTTGCTATAATTTCCTTCTTTAAATCCACAGTAAGTGTCTTTCTTCCTCTTGACAACACTATCTTTAGCAAGCAGCTTCTTTGGAGACATCGTGTGTTACAAATTGTAGTCGCAAAACCACTAAAAACTCAAAGAAAAGCTCAAATAAATCCAGAGGGATGCTTGTCATGTGAGATACAACAACAACACTGGCGTCGGAGGCGTCCGAGAATTTGCGAGAACCCGCGAGATGCTAGGAAGCGCCATGTGGTTTCACTCGTTAATAGAGGCGAGCTCGTCAATAGAGACAAATTTGCTGCGAGTGGCTTGCTCGTTACTGGAAAAACTTGTTAATAGAGCCACTCGTTAATAGAGGTTCCACTGTATATATATTATATATTATTATATCCAGACGTTTTTTATAAATTAATTAAAAGCAAACTGTATGTAAAGGATAAAATCCAGAAATTGAGTGCTGGAATCCCAACTACACTTAGATAGATACAATGGGGCCTCGACTTACGATGCTAATCCGTTTCCAGAGACGGATCGTAAGTCGAAATATCATTAATATATTATATATATATATATATATATATATATATATATATATATATATATATATATGATATATATCATATGATATATATCATTATATATTATATTTATATATATATATGTTGTACCTAGTAGCCACAACGTCGTACTCGGCCTGCTATGCAAGGCCCGATTTGCCTAATAAGCCAAGTTTTCCTGAATTAATATATTTTCTCTAATTTTTTTCTTATGAAATGATAAAGCTACCCATTTCATTATGTACGAGGTCAATTTTTTTTTATTGGAGTTAAAATTAACGTAGATATATGACCGAACCTAACCAACCCTACGTAACCTATCTTTATAGGTTAGGTTAGGTAGCCGAAAAAGTTAGGTTAGGTAGTTGAAAAACAATTCATGAAAACTTGGCTTATTAGGCAAATCGATCTTTGCATAGTAGGCTGAGAAGTGCGTTCTGGCTACTAGGTACGACATATATATATGACATTCAGTACCTTCCTTCCATCCTTGGGAAAGAGCAGCCATGTCTTCTTGAAATTTAAATATCCAATGCAATACAATATAATCTAGAAGAGAATGGGGAAAATGAAATGGGTGATATACTTTATTTCAAGAGAGGACACTATGGAGAAATATGCAAATTCTTGAATGAATTTGATTGGAAAGACTTCTTGCTAGGCCAGAAGTAAATGACAAACTGTGAAATATGCAATGAAGAAAACGGGGACCAGAGAAGACAGGAATAAAGGTTCAAAATAGGAAGAGGCGTAACCCTCAAACCATACAGCACTACAAGTAATTATCAAAAGGTTACAGCACCACAAACAAGCAAGAAACAAATACACAGCAGTGAGGAGAGATGAAGAAATAAATGTTGAGAGAGGTAGCAAACAAATATAAAACACAGATCCAGACATTTTTTATAAATTAATTAAAAGCAAACTGTATGTAAAGGATAAAATCCAGAAATTGAGAGCTGGAATCCCAACTACACTTAGATAGATACAATGGGGCCTCGACTTAAGATGCTAATCCGTTACCAGAGACGGATCGTAAGTCGAAATATCGTAAATCGAAGCGATTTTTCCCATAAGAAATAAATGGAATTAATTAATCCGTTCCCCACCCTCTAAAATATTAACATAAAAATACATTTTATACTGAACACAATGTTTTTTTCTAACTACAATACAGTACTGAAGTTTATCTTACCTTTGTGGAGGGTTCTTGATGGCATGTGGAAGATGGTGATGAGGGGGGAGGAGGAGAGTTGTTACTGTTTGGAAGGGAAGTCGTCCTCCATTATCACTTCAGGCAGTGATGTTCTCTCTGGTGGTACACACACTCCTACGTTTTGCCTAAATACCACTAGGACCTGGTTGTGGTTCAGTGCTTGTTTGTCTCACTACAAATTTGTCAAGAGACATTTGTTTTTCCCTTCATTATAACATTTGTCTGTAATGATGCATCACTTTAGCACCCATAATGTCCTTTTTCTTAGCCAGTATAATGGATATTGTTGACCGAGATTTGTTGTACTGCCTAGCCAGTCCAACAACCCGCACACCATCTTCATATTTATGAATGATCTCTTGTTTCTGCTCTATGGTCATCCTTACATGGGATCTCATATGTTGAGCCTTACCACTGACTTTCCTGGGACTCATGGTGTGATATATAATAATTACTTTAATGTTCAAAATGCAAAAAATCACCACAAAAGCGAAATTTCTTATAGGCACGATCGTCACTAAGCAGGCAGCTGTAGTAAACTGAGGCAGGTTGGCCGCGTGACCGGGAACCACGTGCTCGGTCGACCCGAACGTGTACCAACAAATATAGTAAGTCGACGACACCATCGTATGTCGAGTCGCATTTTTTGATGAAATTTACATCGTAACTCGAAAATATTGTAAGTCAGGGCAATCGTAAGTCGAGGTGCCACTGTATATAATAATACAGTGGCACCTCGACTTAAGATTGCCCTGACTTACAATATTTTCGAGTTACGATGTAAATTTCATCAAAAAATGCGACTCGACATACGATGGTGTCGTCGACTTACTATATTTGTTGGTACACGTTCGGGTCGACCGAGCACGTGGTTCCCGGTCACGCGGCCAACCTGCCTCAGTTTACTACAGCTGCCTGCTTAGTGACGATCGTGCCTATAAGAAATTTCGCTTTTGTGGTGATTTTTTGCATTTTGAACATTAAAGTAATTATTATATATCACACCATGAGTCCCAGGAAAGTCAGTGGTAAGGCTCAACATATGAGATCCCATGTAAGGATGACCATAGAGCAGAAACAAGAGATCATTCATAAATATGAAGATGGTGTGCGGGTTGTTGGACTGGCTAGGCAGTACAACAAATCTCAGTCAACAATATCCATTATACTGGCTAAGAAAAAGGACATTATGGGTGCTAAAGTGATGCATCATTACAGACAAATGTTATAATGAAGGGAAAAACAAAGGTCTCTTGACAAATTTTAGTGAGACAAACAAGCATTGAACCACAACCAGGTCCTAGTGGTATTCAGGCAAAACGTAGGAGAGAGTACCACCAGAGAAAACATCACTGCCTGATGTGAAAATGGAGGACGACTCCCCTTCCAAACAGTAACAACTCTCCTTCTCCCCCCTCATCAACATCTTCCATATGCCATCAAGAGCCCTCCATAAAGGTATGATAAACTTAGGTACTGTATTGGTTAGAAAAAACATTGTGTTCAGTATAAAATGTACTTTTATGTTAATATTTAGGAGGGTGGGGAACTGATTAATTCAATTCCCTTTATTTCTTATGGGAAAAATTGCTTCGACTTACGATCCGTCTCTGTGAACGGATTAGCACCGTAAGTCGAGGCCCCATTGTATATTACATACACACGTGTACATAATTTTTACTTAAATGTTGCCAATATACAACTAAGATGCAGTTTTTAATAATGGTAAAACAAATACAGGTACTGTATATGTTAAACAATTGGACTTGCACCAGAAGCCAAGGAAGCAGTCAAGTTATGTAATGCATGCATTTGGCAGCACCAATTTTTTTTTTACCACTTGCAGGACAGAATGTACTGCAAATAATAAACTATGGGAAACATGATCTCACCAGTTTGCGAAAGTACTGCTCCTCTTGTGCAGCTTCCCTCTTGCCAAAAGAACCACCAGCATCCCTAATTGTTCCGCCAGTACCACCTCCAGATCCGGCACCTGACCCAGGCTCACCCTTTGTCATGTTCCTCACACAACTGAAAAATTAAAACAACCATAATCAATGCACTTTTCACTTGAAAATAAAGTGTGTTATAGTCTTTCCAATATAAGAGACCCCGGGTAGTAAAGTCAGGTTTGATCTCAACTCATTACTGGAATTCTGGGTTTGAATCCTGGGCAGAACAAATGGTTGGGTGCATTTCCTATCACCTAATGCTCATTTCACCTTGCAGTAAATAGGTACCCCAGGAGTTGGTCGGCTTCTTGTGGGACTGCATCCTGGAGAGGGTCCGGTTGTTCAACCTTGGGGGGGGAGGGGGGTCCTCAATACAAGTCTATCACGTATATTGTTTCCCTTCTAGTATATATAGCAGTCTCCACTGCATTAGCCAAGACTGCCACCCCTGCCAACAACACGCCATATATATCATGCATGCGTGTCATATCTGCAATGAAGCTATCCCAGTTATAAATAAAAGCTAATCACAGTGGTCTTAAAATATAATTTCAACCAGTAGTCGAGACTAATTGCCCAGAATATCTAACAACTGCCAATTCTTCACAGATGATAAAAATATTATAGAAACTATGGCACAGTACAGTACACAATAAGTTACTTTCCTAAGATGGTGGTGATAACCTTGCTACATTGAGTAAATACTTTAAGTATACCTGTATGTTGTTATACTTGCAAGAGCAATAATTAAAGAAGGGGAAATTCACAATTTGCTTTGCAAAATACTGTACCATCATTCAAAACAAATAACACTATACTCTTTACCTTATTCTCTCCACAATTTTTAATTTTACATACCGATTGTTGGTGGCCTGAGAACGTATCCAAGTGATAGAATTGGTTGTAGGGAAAATTTTTCCCAACTGTGTAAGTTGATGACTGCATGTATGGTTGCACCTCCAAAATATGCACCTCATCTCGCTAAATAACAATTCAAATCCACCTACAGTGTCAGATTTCCCCCTCCAAATTATATTTAAAAAAAAAAAAAAAAAGATAAATTTCAGAGTAGTTGGTGATGAAATGAAGATGAAAGTTGGACCACCAGCTAAATTAATTTTCTTGATATATATATACTGTGTATATGTGTATATGTATATATATATAGTTATGCCAGCTACTGGAAGGTAGTTGTGCTTTCTGGGTTCGAAGTCCCACTGGTGGGTGTTGTTCCAAAGGTTATTAATATATATATATATATGTATATGTATATATATATATATATATATATATATATATATATATATATATATATATAATATATATAATATATATATATATATATATATATATATATATATATATATATATATATATATATATATTATATATATATATATATATATATATATATATATGTCGTACCTAGTAGCCAGAACTCACTTCTCAGCCTACTATTCAAGGCCCGATTGCCTAATAAGCCAAGTTTTCCTGAATTAATATATTTACTATAATTTTTTTCTTATGAAATGATAAAGCAACCCTTTTCTCTATGTATGAGGTCAATTTTTTTTTTATTCGAGTTAAAATTAACGTAGATATATGATCGAACCTAACCAACCCTACCTAACCTAACCTATATTTATAGGTAAGGTTAGGTTAGGTAGCCAAAAAAAGCTAGGTTAGGTTAGGTTAGGTTAGGTAGACGAAAAAACTTTAATTCATGAAAACTTGGCTTATTAGGCAATCGGGCCTTGAATAGTAGGCTGAGAAGTGCGTTCTGGCTATTAGGTACGTATATATATTATATATATATATATATATATATATATATATATATATATATATATATATATATATATATATATATATATATATATATATATATTTATTTTAGTATATTTTGGTAGCAGTCTTTCCTGTAGACATATATTATTAAATATGACCGAAAAAGTAAGATTAATAATTCTAACACGAATTTTCTCAATCTTTCGTACATTTCTTTTCACTGTTGGAGGTAAATCAAAAATCAATTCTCCAAAATTCATTTTTATTTCTAGTCTGACGCGACACGAGCGCGTTTCGTAAAACTTATTACATTTTCAAAGACTTTAGTTTACAAATACACAACTGAATAGAACTTACGCATCTCCGATTTTATATCTACATTTGAGTGAGGTGGATGGGTTTATATATATAGGGGAATATAAACCTGGATATGCGTATGGGAATGTCAAGACACACAAGCCTGGAAACCCACTTCGGCCAATCATTAGCCAGATACCCACACCCACGTACAGACTGGCGAAGCGACTCAACGGCCTGCTGACTCCTTATGTCCCTTGCGCCTTCAGCCTGAAGTCTCCAAAGGAATTTGTTGACTTACTGCGGGGCACACAGGCCACAGGGATAAGAGCCTCGGACGTAGAATCACTGTTCACCAACGTACCTGTGGACGAGACAATCGGGATGATAGCCGACAGAGTGTATCGTGATCCAGCCTGTACTCCACTTGACATACCAGAAAATATTCTAAGGAAACTACTCCAAGCTTGTACTAAAGAGGCACCCTTCTTGAGCCCGGATGGGCACATGTATAAGCAAGTAGATGGGGTTGCCATGGGTTCTCCCCTAGGTGTCCTGTTTGCAAACTTCTACATGGGTCCCATCGAGCAAAAAGTCTTAGTCGACATGAACTTGAAACCGGCCATATACTGCAGGTATGTTGACATTTTTACACAGGTACCTGATGTCAGACATCTGCAGGAGCTGAAGGCGGCGTTTGAGCAGAGTTCCGTGCTGCGTTTCACTTACGAGATGGAAAAGGATGGGAAGCTGCCCTTTCTAGATGTAACAGTCATGGAAAAGAGCGGAGGTTTCCACACTGCAGTCTACACTAAGGAAACGAACATAGGAATGTGCCTAAATGCCAACAGCGACTGCCCAGACAGGTACAAGAGGAGTGTTGTTAACGCATATGTCGACCGTGCTCTCAGCCACAGCTCAGAATGGAAGCAAGTCGACGAAGAACTCTGTAGGGTAAGGCAGGTCCTAGTTAACAACGGCTTCTCCAATGGTTTCGTCGAAGACATCATAAGAAGGAAAGTGAAACGCTATGCAACCTCTGAAGAGACAACTAACACAACACCTATACCCCTATTAGACTATTTTACAGGAACTTCTTTTCCACAGCTCATAAAACGGAGGAAAGGGTCCTGAAAGATATTGTTAATAGAAACGTTATCCCTACAGACAAAAATCAGAGGATACAACTGACGATTTACTATAAAACCAGAAAAACGGCCAGCCTACTCATGAGAAACTCTCCAGACACAAAGCAGAACGCTTTAAAAGAGACCAACGTCGTCTATGCCTTCAAATGCCCTCTTGGGGACTGTAAGCTCCAAAAAACCCAGTATATAGGCAAGACAACAACATCTCTTTCTAGGCGTTTAACGATGCATAAGCAACAGGGCTCCATTAAGGAACATATAATCTCTTCCCACAACCAAACCATCGCCAGAGAAATCCTAGTAAACAACACAGAAATCATCGATAGATACAGCGATAGCAGGCGGCTTGACGTTTGCGAGGCACTACACATTAAAAAGTCAACACCAGCAATCAACAGCCAATTAATGCACAACTATATTCTACCTACCTTAAGACTCCGCTCCAATATAGAAGCATCAAGAAATATGGACCAATAGGCTTTCTACAATCACTTCCATTCAATACCCATTGTTTCGTGTTCTGTCTTGTGTTGTTGAAATTAATACCCTATTAATGCCACCTCACCCCATCCACCTCACTCAAATGTAGATATAAACAAATCGAGGATGTGTAAGTTCTATTCAGTTGTGTATGTGCAAACTAAAGTCTTTGAAAATGTAATAAGTTTTACAAAATGTGCACAAGTGTTGCGTCAGACTAGAAATAAAAATGAATTTTGGAGAATTGATTTTTGAATTACCACCAACAGTGAAAAGAAATGTACGAAAGATCGAGAAAATTCGTGTTAGAATTATTAATCTTACTTTTTCGGTCATATTTAATAATATGTGTCTACAGGAAAGACTGCTACCAAAATATACTAAAATATATTATATTATATATATATATATATATATATATATATATAATATATATATATATTATATATATATATATATATATATATATATATATGTGTATATCATAAAAATAAACACGTGATTAAGAATGTGACAATGTCAGACCACGGAGGAAAATGAAACAGGAATTTCCTTAAGTACTTTCGTATATTAAATACATCTTCAGAAGGAATCATTCCTTCTGAAGATGTATTTAATATACGAAAGTACTTAATGTCGTGATAAGTACTTAGTCGTGATGGTCAAGCGGATTAAGGCGTCCCTGTACATACCAGTTGTGGGAATATGGGTTCGAGTCACTTCTGGGGTGTGAGTTTTCAGTTGTATATAGTCCTGGGGACCATTCAGGCTTGTTTGCATTTGTGTTCCTCACGTGTGCCCCAAAGAATGAGGTGATTTGATAAAATGCTATGCCCAAGATTACCATCCGAGTGCCGGCGGGGAAGTGGTTCATATAGCCTCGGCTATCACTTCCTTATGTCCGGTCGTGATGGTCAAGCGGATTAAGGCGTCCCTGTACATACCAGTTGTGGGAGTATGGGTTCGAGTCACTTCTGGGGTGTGAGTTTTCAGTTGTATATAGTCCTGGGGACCATTCAGGCTTGTTTGCATTTGTGTTCCTCACGTGTGCCCCAAAGAATGAGGTGATTTGATAAAATGCTATGCCCAAGATTACCATCCGAGTGCCGGCGGGGAAGTGGTTCATATAGCCTCGGCTATCACTTCCTTATGTCCGGTCGTGATGGTCAAGCGGATTAAGGCGTCCCTGTACATACCAGTTGTGGGAGTATGGGTTCGAGTCACTTCTGGGTGTGTGAGTTTTCAGTTGTATATAGTCCTGGGGACCATTCAGGCTTGTTTGCATATATATATATATTATATATATATATATATATATATATATTATATATTATATATATATATTATATTATATATATATTATATA